TCACCAGGGTCAACCCTCCCCATCCACACAAGCCCCTGTCCTGGGACCTGTCGCACCTAGTGCATGAGGTAGCTGGTGAAGGTGTATACAGAAGCCTTGCAGGAGACCTTCACGGAGGCCCCAGGCTTCCTCACCTCAGCCCCAGACTGCACCAGCTGCACCTGGGAGTGGACACCTGTGGGGAGGAGACAGGAGTCAGTGGAATCCCCCTTGACGCTCCCTGGACCCTCCTTAACCCAGGACAGGAGCCCATTACCTGTCTCCATGGCCACCAGGAGGAGGGTTCTCCAGCTCCAGTCCATGCTGAGGGCTGTGCTGTGAGCACTTCTGTAGGGGAGGGTGTGGCTGTGGGTGATGCCCTCAGGGCACAGACTTACCCATATTTAACCTGGTCTACCTCCTCTCTTTTGCATATTCATGAGGCAGAGTATTTCATAGCTGAGGTCTTGACCCCACCTGAGAGAAGATGGGTGACACAGGGACCATGTTCAGTGGGAGTCTGAGGGTCCAAGTCCTAATTCTTTTTTCTTTAAATTATACCTTTATTGGTGAAGGTATTGCACATGCTCCCTTCATCCCCCATTGACACCTTCTAGCCCAGCCCCGGGTGCCCAGGTCTTCACCAACCTATTGTCTGTGTCCCTGGATGATGCACATATGCATATGAGTTTGTTGGTTTGTTGATCTCTTCCCACCCACCTTCCCTACTACGACTTCCCTCTGAGATTCCCCAGTCTGCTCCATGCTTCCAGGTCTCTGGATCCATTCTCTTCATCAGTTTCTTTTGTTGATTAGGTTCCACATATGAGTGAGATCCTGTGATACTTGTCTTTCTCTGACTGTCTTAATTCACTTACCATGATACTCTCCAGGTCCCTCCATACTGTGCCAAAGGGTAAGAGATCCTTCTCTTTCACTGCTGCAAAGTATTTGTTGGCATAAATATACCACAGCTTTTTATCCATTCAGCTACTCAAGGGCATTTGGGCTGTTTCCAGTCTTAGCTGTTGAAAATTGTGCTGCTATGAACATAGGGGTGCATACATTGTTTCTGATTGGTGTTTGGGGTCCCTTAGCATATATTCGTAAAAGTGGCTTCACTGGGTCAAATGGCAGTTCCATCTTTAATTTTTTGAGGAAACTCGGTACTGTTTTCAATAATGGCTGCACCAGTCTGCATTCCCACCAGCAGAGTATGAGGCTTCCCTTTACTCCACATCCTCGCCAGCACTTGTCATTTGTTGATTTATTGATGGTAGCCATTCTGACAGGTGTAAACTGATACCTCATTGTCCTTTTCATTTGCATCTCTCTGATGGACAGTGACTTTGAGCATTTTTCCTATATGTCTTGGCTATCGGTATGTTCCCTTTGGAGAAGTGTGTATTTAGGTCCTTTGCCCATTTTTTGATTGGATTGTTTGTCTTCCTTTGGTTAAGTTGTAAGGGCTTTTTATACATTTTGGATATTAACCCTTTATCACATGGATCCTTGCCAAATATGTCCTCCCATACTGTGGGCTCCCTTTTCATTTTGTTGATGGTTTCTTTGGCTGTGCAGACACTTTTTATTTTGATGTATTCCCATTTGTTTATTTTCTCCTTAGTTTCCTTTGTCCTGGGAGATGTATCTGTAAACACATTGCTATGAGAGATGTCTGAGATTTTACTGCCTATGTATTCTTCTAAGATTTTTATGGTTTTCATACTCACATTTAGGTCTATTAACCACTTTGAGTTTACTACTGTGTATGGTATATGTTCATGTATTGTTTCCGTTTGTTTTGGTGGTTTTTTTTTGCACGTTTATCTGTTCAATTTTCCCAATAATATTTATTGAAGGGACTGTTGTGATTCCATTGTATGCTCTTGCCTTCTTTGTCAAATATTAATTGGGCGTAATGGCTTGGGTAGATTTCTAGGTTCTCTGTTGTGTTCCATTGATGTATATACCTGTTCTTGTGGCAGTACCAGGCTGTTTTGATTTCTATGGCTTTGAAGTATAATTCAGTATCTGGTATTGTGATCCCTCCACCTTTGTTCTTCATTCTCAAGATTGCTATGGCTAATTGGGGTCTTTTTTGGCTCCATATAAATTTTTGAAGTATTCGTTGTAGATCTGTGAAATATGTTGTTGCTATTTTAATAGGGATTACATTGAATCTGTAGAGTGCTTTGGGTAATATGGGCATTTTAATGATGTTTATTCTACCAACCGATGATCCTGGTATTATTTGCCACTTGCTTATATTTTCATCTATCTGTTTATTCAACATCCAGTATTTTTCTCAGTACAAGTCTTTTACCTGCTTGGTTAAGTTTATTCTTAAGTATCATAATTTTTTGATGCACTGGTAAATGGGATTGTTGGTTTGGTGTCCCTTTCTTTCTTTCTTTTTAAAAAAATGTATTTCTTTATTTATTTCAGAGAGGTAGGGAGAGGGAGAGATGGAAACATCAATGATGAGTCAGAATCATTGGTTGGCGGTCTCCTGCACACCCTCTATTTGAGATCACGCTGCAAACCAGGCATGTGCCCTTGGCCAGAATCAATCCTGGGACCACTCAGTACACAGACGCTCTATCCAATGAGCCAAACCAGCTAGGACTGGTTTCCCTTTCTGAGAATTCATTATTGGTGCATAAAAGTTCCATTGATTTCTGGGTGTTAATTTTGTATCCTTCTACATGGCTGAATTCATTTGTTAAATCTAGGTGTGTGTTTTTTTGTCGAGTCTGTAGGTTTTCTTTGCACAAGATCATGTCTTTTATGAATAATAAGAGTTTCACTTCCTCCTTTCCAATTTGGATGCCTTTTATTTCTTCTTGTCTCAGTGCTGTGGCTAGGACTTCCAGTACTATGTTGAATAAGAGAGGTGAAAGCGGGCATTTCTATGTTGTTCCGTTTCTTAGGGGAAATGGTTTTTATTTTTGCTCATTGAGTATGATTCCGGCTATAGGTTTGTCATAGGTGTCCTTTATTGTGTTGAGATATGAGTCCTCCTCTCCAACTTTGCTGAGAAGATTTATCAAAAGTGGGTGCAGTGTTTTGTCAAATGCTTTTTCTGAATCTATAGATATGGTCATGCTGTTTTTGTCTTTCAGTTTGTTTATGTGATGTATCATGTGTATTGATTTGTGAATATTGTACCAGCCTTGCATCGCTTGATGAATCCCATTTGGTCATGGGATTCATTGCACTATCCAACTTGCTAATATATTTTGAGGATTTTAGCATCTGTTTTCATCAGGGATATTGGCCTGTAATTATCTTTCTTAGGAATGTCACCTGGTTTTGGAATTAGGATAAAGCTGGACTCGTCAAAAGATTTTGGAAGTGTTCCTTCCTCTGGATTTTTTTTTAATAATTTGAAGATATAGGTGTTAGTTCTTCTCTGGATTTTTGGTAAAACTCCTCTGTGAAGGCATCCAGACCAGGACTTTTTTTTCTGGGTGTTTTTGGATTCCTGCTTCTATTTCCTCAGTTGTTATTGGCCTTTTCAGGTCTTCTGATTCTTCCTGTTTCAGTTTTGGGGTACTGTGTTTTTATAGGAATTTGTCCATTTCATCTACATTGTCCATCTTGTTGGCATATAGTTGTTCATAGCACTTCATTGCAATCCTTTTTTTTCCCCTGGGGTGTTGGTTGTTACGTCTCCACAATCCTTTCTCACTTTATTTATTTGGGTCTGCTCTCTTTGTTTCCTGATGAGTCTGGCTAATGGTTCCTCCATCTTTTTTATCTTTTCAAAGAACCAGCTTGTGGTTTCACCAAGTCCCAGTCCTGATGGTGAAAGGTTCTGTAGTCACCAGAGCCTTCAATCAGGAGGAGACCAGGGGAGACACACAGAGGTCAGGGAGCAGTGCATGACTTGGGGAAGCTTTGCAGACACAGTGGGTTCTCATGGCTCCTGGAAACCAACCAAAGGAGCAAGGAAGGAGGTGTGGGAGGTCTACTCCATCCTGCAGACATGAGTGAGCTGAAGGTTTAGCCACTCAGGCACCTATGACATGGAGGCTGGGAAATGCTGAGATAGAGTAATAATCTCACAAGCTGCCTCTACCTGAGTTATAATCCCCTCTGAGCCCTCAAAAGACTGATCTCCAGAGGATCCAACACCGTCATTATGAAATGTCAAACGTTACCCCATGATTTTAAATAAAAAACACGAAAAAGCTGTAAAGCTATCTTTTTCACCAAGAGATTTCCCAAGTCAGCTGCTTGTTGAAATGAAATGATTTCCAATGAACCTTGTTAAACGTCCCTATGAAACTGCATGACACGGGAAGCGCACACTGCTGTCATCTCACATCAGTGCTGGTGTGACACCTATGGGGAGAGAGCTGAAGTCATTTCCTGTGGCTCCAGAAACAGCAAGTCCTGGCACCTGTACAGGGGAGCTGACCAGGGAGCAGCCCTCAAGGGCCCTTTGCACCATTCAGATGGGTCCATCCAGCTTCCACTGTCCGCGGGACGTGCACCTGTTTTATTTACTGTGGGCCTGACAGAAGGAAGGGCCCTATGGGGACAGGTGGGCATGTGGGTCAGACCCAGAGCTCAGCACACAGGGGCCTGGGCTGTGCTGGGGTCCCTCTTGGTGGGAAAGTTTCCAACCACAGGCCGATGAGAGCACTGAGGATGGTCTCTGTGGAGAAAGAAAAGCAGGAAATACAGACACGTGGTGAGGAGAGTCCCCATCACTGCCCACATGTCCTCTGCCAGCAGCAGTGCTACCCCCTCCTCTGGGTCTGCAGTGAGAAAGCGGGAAATGAGAGCCTCAGAGAAAGAGCAGGAGCCTTCCCTGGAGGCAGCTGAGAGCTTGAGAGGAAATCCCTGTGCCCAACAGGAAGGCCCTTCCCTCCCCACCTCCCTCTGCCCCTGCTCCTGGGGCTGCTCTCTGTGCTGTGAGTCCTGAGCGCCACCTGCAGCCCAGCCCTGCTGTCTCCTCAGGGAGGTTTGTGTCTGGGCTCACATTGACTTCCCCTCACTGTGTTTCTTGCACAATAATACACGGCCGTGTCCTCGGCTCTCAGGCTGCTCATTTGAAGATACACCATGTTCTTGGCATTGTCCCTGGAGATGGTGAAGCGGCCCTTCACAGAGTCGGCGTAGTATGTGCTACCACCACTAGGACTAATGAGTGAGACCCACTCCAGCCCCTTCCCTGGAGCCTGGCGGACCCAGTTCATGTCATAGCTACTGAAGGTGAATCCAGAGGCTGCACAGGAGAGTCTCAGAGACCCCCCAGGCTGCACCAGGCCTCCCCCAGACTCCACCAGCTGCACCTCACACTGGACACCTGCAAACACAGAGACACAAGGTGGACTGAGAATCACATGGAAGCACCAACAGGCACAGGCACAGGCACAGGTCTCATCGCTCCCCACTCCTGAGAACGACCTTGAGAAATGATCAGGAGGAAAACGCAGCTTGGCACCAAGTCCATGGTGGAGCCGCTGGGGTCCTGTCTCAGGTGCTTGGGTTCTGGGTGTCTCCCCAACATGCTGGGCAAGGGCCCCCTTTTATGAGCAGGAGGAGAGCCCCATTTGCATGGAGTCTGCATATAAGGTGCAGCTGGGACCCTGGGCTGCATGCCTGACCTTGTCATCCTAGGGGCGACCCCAGATGGGAAAGGACTCAAGGATGCTGGCCCCAAGGGGTCCCGTCCTGACCCCCCTCCCTCCCTCCTTTCCTGGGACCTGTCACCCTGACCCCATTCCTTTGGGGGCAGCTTCCAGGATTGAGAGACCTCCTTCCTCGGGGTTTTGATGAGGACCCAGGGGTGCTCCCTCAGAGGCAAGTGGATGGGGCATCCACTCCTTCTCCTTCATCCCCGTGGGTCCTGTCGCCTTTCTGGGGTTTAGGAATAAGAATTTGCATTGGATGATGCTTTTATTTTGAGACTGAAAGCTTCTCCTTGCTGTTTTCTCCTGTCACATCTTTCACACACGAATAAGGAATCCAACAATGCATGGTCCCTGCTGCCTGTCACTCCTTGGGCCAAATAGGCAGAGACAGGGGTGACTCATACACAGGCATTCATTCCAATGCTTTGGGCAATGTTGGGTAGCAGCGGGTCATCCACACAAACCAGCTCTGCAGCCCCATAAACCAGCTGCTTATATTGAATGAAAGGATAGAAGGTTACGTGGGAAGTAGCCAAAGGCTCTGCCAAAGGGGCAGGTGACAGAGAGCAGAGGGCTGTGACCTTCAAGGGCTGGCGGGCTGGTTCCTGCAGGAAAGTTGTTCATCTCCAGGATGATCGGCAGCTCCAAATGGGGAGGAGGGGCTGCACTTCCAGGTGAGCTCCCAGGTCCCAGTGCGGCTGCCAGCCAGGCTAGAAGGTGCCTTCTCCAATCAGAATAAACAATCACGGTGAACAGAGCAGGATGACTATGTCGTACAATTCTAGCTGGTTCCCCACACTCTATTCCTGCCCCTATAGAAACTCGAACCTCTACATGTGAGGAGGCAGGAGAGGCTGGGCTGGACACTGTGCCTTCAGCCTCCGTCTCTGATCTGCTGTCCCTGCCACAAGCACACAGCTGCCTCCAAAAACCACAGATTTCACTCAATTTCCTGCTGTTCCTGTGCAAAAGCCCTGTTTTCCCAGCCCCTCAAATTGGGAGAATTTCCATCATTTACACATGGAGCCCTGGCTGGTGGGGCTCAGTCGTTGGCACATCAGTGCCCATAACAAAGGGTGTGAACTCTTTAGAACTAACTCATCCTGCCCAGGTAGCAGGTTTTTAATAATTGTGTGAACTTCCCACTCCACACAGAGAAAACACGTATATGAATATATGTTGTAAATGAAGAAAAGACAATAATTTGGTATAAGAAATGCCCTAACGTGTAGAGAATATTTTATAAGATTTTTGGAGCCAAACTGATGAAAACTGTTGGGTATCAAGACCTCAAATACTCATGAGAATAACCATTGGCAGCTGGGTTTGTGCATTTGAAGTTAAGGAGGGAAGGTGAGGAGTGACATGGAGGTGGGAGAGAGCAAGGCAGGGACTGGATGCCAGGATAGTGAACAGGACGTTCTCTCTCTCTCTCTCTGTCTCTCTCTCTCCCTCTCCTAATCTTTATTGTTAAAAGTATTGCATAGGTCACCCTTTTCTCCCCATTATCCTCTCTCCGCTGGCTCCCATTCCCTCCCCAGGCCCTCACCACCCCATTGTCTGTGTGTACAGATTAGGCATATATGAAGACAAGTTGATTGGTTGATCTCTTCCCACCCACCCTCCCAACCCTTCCCTCTGAGGTTCCATGGTCTGTTCATGCTTCTATGTCTCTGGGTCTATTTTTGTTTATCAGTTTATTTGGTCCATTAGCAATGCAGACTGGTGCAGCCATTATGGAAAACAGTATAGAGTTTCCATCTAAAAAGTAAAAATGGAATTCCCATTTGGCCCAGTGATCCCACTTCTAGAAATACATCCTAAGAAACCCAAAACACTCATCAGAAAGAATGCATGCACTACTATGTTTATAGCAGTGAAATTTACAACAGCTAAGCTTCGGAAACAGCCTAAGTGCCTGTCAGCAGATGATTGGATAAAAAAACCGTGGCACATCTACACCATGGAATGCTACGTAGCCGTGAAAAAGAAAGAACTCTTACCATTTGCAACAGCAGGGGTCCGTCAGCTAAGGGGTTAATCTCCAAAATGTATAGGGACTCATACAATTAAATAAAAGGAAGACAAGAGCACAACTGAAAAATGGGCAAAGGGACTAATAGGTAAGTCTTCAAAGTGGACACACAGATGGCCAAGATGTGGATGTGCATTCAGGAGGGTGGTCATGCTGATGTCAAAGGTGTGTTAACCCAGATGCACAGGAACAATGGACGGGGTCCTTAAGGCAAAGATGAGCCTTTTAGTAGAGAAGTCATAGGCTTGGGGTCTGCCCAACCCAAGGACTGCCCAGGTAGGAATGTGTGATCAGAGCCTCCTGTGAGGGTCTTGTCAGTCACTGAGTTTTGTCAGATTTAGGACAGAGCCCCCTTTTTGTTCACAAATACAATCCCCAAAACTAGACCTAGGATAGCGCTTTCTGTGAGCTCTGTGGCTGAGCCTCAGAGCAAAACTAATTTAAGAAAGATCAAGAAATGTTATCTTTGCTCAACTCTC